TTATTTTACTCGAAATGTGGTTTACTATGAGAAAAATGTCAAGTAGCTATGAAAACCGTGGGAGAGGGGTTGGGCGTGTGATTAAAACTAAAGACTCAATGTTATCTGTCATTTTTTATAGCAGGACTAATCAGCTTAAGCCATTTAAACAAACAAGTAATTAGGCACACTTTAAATTACCAAACATTTTGTATAATTATTTCCTAAATCCCAATTAGCAAGACGTTTGGATTACAACAAAGTTTAAACTATTTAACAAGACGAATAGACTAACCATACTTATGTACTATGTTTCAATAAAGATTCTTCTCTGATAAAAAACTAATAAGTGTCACCAGCTCAATAGACGTGATCTCCCTCCTAAGACCTGAAATAATAGGCTGCTATGCGTGATGACCGTACTAAACAAGAAGCCATGAGTACTGGACAAAGAAAACACCATCCAGCTCGAGGACCAATGAGGGGTTTCTTTCACTTTTCAATCACTCCTAGTTGTGCCCGGGATTAAGAGAGGGCTCTTGACTCTCTCTTTCACACAAAACCAAGAGTGCTTGTCAGCAACTTGAAGGAAAAAAGAAGAGAATAATACGTGAGTCCAAGGTTATCGTGTTTAATTGGATTAGATGGTGTCATATTGAAGTCCGGAGCATGACAAACTAGAGATAGACGCAAAGACGGCTGGGATTTATATATCTTTGTCCCGCTTGGGGAATATTTGATAAAACAAATACAATATTAAATAAAGTTTATTTGCTATTTTATTTTGATGGAAAATTACTTATAGCCCAACATATCCCAAATCATGCATAGAAATAGAGCCTGTCTTGGTGTGCCTCAATAAAAAAAGAAGTAAAACACGCAGAGAACTGTGGCGCTGGAGAGGTTTATATTGTCGGGATTGTGTTGTTGGCTGTGTGCTGCGCTCATCTGTGCGTCAAGCGGCGGCGGCAATAACTAGGTGCGCGCAGCTGTGTGTGCAGGTGCGCGGCCTCCACCTGCTCAACTGCACAGAGAGCGAGAGTGAGGGGAAAGAAAAGATTGAAAGCGGGGGAGGGGGGCAGCGAGAGAGGGAGAGACGGGTGCAGATCAAAAGCTCTGTTTTCGATTGAGTAGAAAAATGGGAAATTATCACCAAATTCTTATCAGTTTTATCAGCCTTTAAATGCGCAAAGGCAATACTTGTAACAAAGGGAATACATTACATGGTCAAACGTTTAAAAAGAAACAGCACAAACGGAATATTTGGCTATAAACGTTGAACTTTGAATCCTGAAGATGAGTGCATCTCAAAAGTTCAAAGTGTCCCGGAAAGTCGTCTGGCGTTGCGCACCATTTAATTAAAAAAAAAAACGTATCTATGAATCAAAATAAATGTGAGGCTCGACGAAGCCACTGTGAAAGCATTTATAGAAGATCTTTGGATATTGATACCGTCCAGGTAAACGCGGTACAACAAAGAGACAGAGAGCAGGGCGAGATCAGAGGGGCACCCGCACCGGATATATTTGCCGGAAAAGTTATGTCACCCAGTCGAATGTTTCTGCCTATATGTCCCGGAGAGTGTTTAATCACGTGTTCAGTGGAAGAAAAATATGCAACCCATCATTCATCTGGCATCGGGGTAACATTTTATTACCTAATTAGCTTTTAGAGGCAGATGTGAGGTTTGATCTCCGTTCCTGTCTATATGGCCGCAGACCTGCTCATTTTATGAGGTGCCGGTACTTTTTTTCTCCTGCCTTGAACTGTCTGTGTCGGTCGTGTAAAACTTTCTGTTGGTCTGTCTTGTCTGGTGCATTCAGGGACAACAAAGAATAACAAACAAACAAACAAGAGACACGACCTGGTCTAGATGAGGTGCAGCTCCATCGTTTAATTAAAGTGGGGATGTTGTGCGTAAATTGAGACATAAAAAATACTTATACCATCCCACTTAAGTCGTGAAAAAAAAAAAACACTCTGACAAACATTACAGATTATGGTTTATACTCAATCCTTTACATGCAAATATGCTGCTGTAAAAAAAAATAGGCTAGGAATAAAAGAATAAACTTGTACTGCAGTGAAGTCAGCTGCCAGAGGAACCCTAAAAGTCAGATCTGACGACAGATGGACACTTGAGGTAAAAAACGAAAAAGTTGCAGAGACTTTTTGTGGCTCTGTAACGAGTCGAGTCTCATTACCATGTCACCCCTCCTGCCCCGCTCCTCCTCCCCGACACCCTTCCTCACTCCTGGCAACAGCAGACAAAGCGGGCGCATTTTAGTGGTCTCCGCCGGGGCCGGTCAGCCTTTGATCTGAGCCCGTTTAAGGAGAAGGGAGTCTGGGTTGAGTCAGGCCAAGAGGAGGGCTGTGGAGGAAGGTAAAGTCACCTAAAAATATTTTTACCTACAACACACTTCCTAATTTGCAGAGAAGGCAACACCTCTAGGTTAAGATGTTTCCAGCCTGAAAGTCCGTTTCATTTCTGTTAATAGGCGACATTATTTGCAGATTATCTGAACCGCCATGTAAACACAACTCGGGTAGCCTGGACGCTAAGGGAAACGGAACACCAAGAACTAAACTCTATTAGTATGACGGGCCTTCAAATATAGAGGCCTTTACAAGTTTGGTAGATTAATTAAATAGAGACAGACGCCTCCCCGCCCATGACCTTTAGGATAGACCTAAAGTAGGCAGGGTGCAGCTACAGCACCACAAAATGAATATACCTGTCTGGTGATGTGAATGAAATATAGTCCAAATTGACCTGCAGTGGCCAAAAAAAAAAAAAAAACACCCAACTCCACTCCACTCATATGAACAAGATGATATTTATTTAGTTTAGAAACGTAATATTATTTAGTTTTGCCTTCTAAGGGTGTACTGCGTCAAAAAGATTTGTCACAATATAAAGGTGGTGGTGGTAGTGGTGGGGGTTGGGATTTAACATCTCTGATCCTGATTCGTGCCACGCCGCCAATCCGTCCCGTCGGACTGTCTTGCTGACAGGGACACTCGGACAAAAGGTCTCAAATGAAGTTAGTAATGGTCCACATATGCCAGATCATTCAGGCAGCACAGGCAGGCCGCCGTGAATTTCGTATCATGCAAACGCAATGGGGAAAAAAAGGAGGCTGGACATGCGCCTGTCAGCAGTGAGGAAATAAAAGGCTCTGAGTTGAACAAAAACCACTGACTGTTTTTTGAGGTTTCTGTAGGGAAATATCAAAGAAATATTTCTCTAACATACTTTGCATTCAGAATAAAGTAGCTAAATAATAAATAAACACAGCATAGATACTCACCTGTCAGTGCAATATATAAAATGACATGAAAACTATAGAAGCTTTCCATTAACAGATCATGCTTTTAAATTACAGCACCGTTTTTGGCCGGTTCGTTCAAAAAAGTATTTACTCTTAGATTACATTTCAAAAAGGTGCAATGAGTTTTCTTGCAGCTGAATAATTTCATCTATATTTTCAAATTCTGCAGTCCCACAATTCTTATTCAAGAAACAAGTAAAATAACATTAATTTTTAATCAGTATTCTTGAAATCACTAATTGATAAGGGGGGGGGAAACATTTTGTTGTCTGAGACTGATGTAATAGTTATGGCACAATGGCCTTTTGTAGCCACTGTAAAACTGTTGTAATTTATTTAAACAATATTTCTAAATATTGAAACAGAGTTAATTAGCTCAAACTAAATGTTTTATGTTGATCAGCTCTGCACACGTGATATTTTAAGCCATTTTAGCTAATAGGTTTGCACTTCTCAAACTGCGCTGCAGCAACAATAACGAGGTATTTTATTGCTTTAGAATAATCTTTTGCTGCAATTACTTTGTCATACATTGTCATTAGAAGTCTATTAAAACATCAAGTCATTATTTGGGCATCCCCGGGCGGGGAATTAGAATAAAACCATCGTTGCCACACGGGTCCCATTTAGATTAATGGAAAAATATGTAAAACATTTCGTTTTAATTTTCCTCTGACAGTGTTTTGCATACATGCATTTTCCCCGCCTGCGCTGTCCCTCATAATTTATGAAAGCAATCTCGACCAACACATTACTGGCCTATGAAATACTGCTTGCAGCCTAATTGATTCCCGTCACAATTTTGTAAGGTTATAATCGTGTTAATTGTAATTTACTCTCTCGGGGAATACCGGAGAGATGTATTTAAATAAAACTGCTGAGCGGACTCAGAAGATTATATCAGTTCCACACATAATAGAAATGTCATGTAGAATTACACAGCGGAGGCAGACAGGGATGCATTCCTCTAATCAACAGAGATGTCAGTGAAACCTTTTGCTTTCTCATTCCCAAATGTTATTGAATTGCACTGATAGCAGAGCAAAAAGAAGCTCCATATAGACTAAAGAACATTGTTTGTTTCACCTTTTATCAGAGAGGGGAAGGGCTGAGGAAAGTCTGGGTGTTAGTGGAAATATCACATAAGGATAATTAGATTGAGTGAAAAAAATAGTACAGGCCTGTGAGGCATCCAAACACTCAGAGGATGTTGTGTTTTGTTAAAATATAAACTGGCCATATCATTTCCTGATCATCCTCAGAAGAGTTGCCCTTTTTACTTTGTTCCTGCATGATGCCCTGCGGTTCTTCCTCTGCTTAGATATCTCCCTTCCTGTCTGTGGGGACACCTGTTGGTGCAGAGCAGCTTGGAAAAGCCGAGATGTCCCATTAGACTGGCCTCCTTCACCACTAAAGTCACCTGGTGAGCCTCTGTTGAACTCTGAGCGCTGGATATTCACAGCCATGTGTCTATGACTTTCTGTAGCTTGTTTTGCAGCTCTGCTGTATTCTGACTCAACAGGGTTAGTCGAGAACATTTACATTTGAGAGGACAGAATGTTAAAAATTAAAATGATCGTAAAGCTTTAAATGTTCTAACCTGAAAAAAAAAACACCTATACACTGGCAGTTTTCTTTAATTTTAACATCTACTGATGGAGACAATACATAAATCAAACAAGAAGGAGAAACCGTTAGGAACAGATCTTTATTTGTATTTTATTGTTTTAACAGGTAAAGGGACACATTTGCCTGCACTTTAACTTAGCATACAAGAACCAAAGTCGATTTTCATTCTGCAACTTTTTCTGCATTCATTTCAGATAGGATTGCAACAAGACTTGGCTGCAACAAATGATAAACTGAAGAAAGTTTAAAAAGTATCTCTAAGTTTGATCCACATAGCCCATTTTAATGACATAATACAAAAGCAAGATACATTATGATTTCAGTGATCACTAGGCTACTCACAAGAAGAAACTTCTCCTTTATATGTTATACCATTTAAGTTGACCGAGTTCAAGAGATATCTTGTCCAACATGTTTTTTAAAGCTCTGCAAAGCCTCACAAAATGGCTCTTCCCAAATCATGTGTGCGGATTTATTTAATGAAAGTCATACATAATAGCAGTTTTGTCCACCAACCTCATGGTATAATAGTAGATTGGGTGAAAACAAACAAACAAGCTGAATGTGAATTCCCGGCAAAAAAAGTGAACCAGCGGTGCGAGAAATATGTGGCCAAATGCCAAAGAGACAGCTTACTGTTTGGGTCTTTGGCTGGGTGCAGGAGTGGTTTCGATCTTTTTGTCTGGCCTGGCACAGACCACAGTCCTGCCCCAGACACAATAGCTCATACAGTATGAGAGAGAGAGGGAGAGAGAGAGATGTGTGGATGAGGTGGGGTATGGTGCCTTTCATTACCATGGTCACCAATGGCACTATTAACCATTCAACTCCCCCCCAATTATCCTCCCATCCACAGTCAGAGAGACAAAGCCTCGGTCCTGGTCTGCTGGAGCAACATGGCCACTAATCTGTCTCACTCTAACATCACACCCACTTCACTGTCTCTGGATGTCAGATGTGCACCAGCTTTTTATTTGTGACAATACAACAAATGACTTTACTGAACTTGTTTGGGAGTTTGGGGGATTTTTTTTAGAAATGTGACAATTTATAACTGTGGATAAGTTAAATCGTTTTTGAAGATGCTGAAAAAAAGGTGAACTTCACCTAGAAACAATATCTGAAAATCTGAGCTAAACTCTGTGTTAAATAAGAGATCAGGTGAAGAATACTGCCGCAGCATGTGCATGTATGCAGTGTTTATTTTTCGTACAGGTCATGGCGTGTCTGACGCCACACGCCTTCTCCATCAAGACCACAGGCTCACAAGCTGCCACAGAGCAAGCTGCGTGTCTTCACTAAGGAGACGGACACAAAAAAGCTAAATCGTGAGCTTACGCACATCCATCTGCGATTTTTTTAAGCGAGCAAGACTTTGATGTTTGTCAGTCAGGCCCTGGGGAGGGGACTGAGGCCTGACTGGAAGACTGGGGCCTAATGAAAAGATCCAAAAATGTGGCTTGTTGTGTTTGTTTACCCTTTTGCCCAGCAGCTTGGACGGTGGAGATAGGAGAGCATTCATCATGACCTAGGAGAGATGGAAGGCATGGGAACGCACACTGGAGAATGGCCTGATGGTGCACGCACTGAAGTGTGCCAAGAAAGTGCCCACAAAGAGCAATAATCCTCGACACTCAGTTTTTAAGATGCAGATATCTGCTGATGCTCCTTGCCACGTGCAGATTTTATATCGCTGAAAAAATCTGAGGTTATATTTAAACATAAACTGGACCTATTCAGCAAAAGTAAAACTTCACCCCAAAAGCCATGACAGTCAAAACATTTGAACAATTTTTAATAAACTTACATTTAAAACAAACCACAATTTACACTATCAGGCAACAGTTCCTAAGATTTTCAAGAGCTATTTTTGTCCTGAAACCTGCAACACGTCCAGTTTCCTTTGACCTTTCCTGTCAGGGTTTAGACGTGTGGTTCCTCACATTTCTCCTCACTAGTGTTATTTCTCTGGCACCACGGCGGAGAGCGTTATGATGTTCTGTGCCTGCTTCACCGAGGGCATGTCAATCATGCTGCCACAGAAGGTGAACGCACCCTGAACAGGTTGACAACAGAAACGAGAGCAGAAAGTAAAACATTAGACCAGATGGACACAGTAAACTTTAAACGATCTCAGATGACCGATGACGTTTACAGATGCAGGAAGTAGATAACTGTATGAAAAACACATCATGCCACTTTATGAGAGCCATCATAATATGTGTTTTATGTGCATGGAGATGTGGCTTAAATTTTTTTTTTCCCGACTTTTAAGGCTGTTTTTAATCTGGAATAATTAATAGTAAACAAAGTAATAAATTACAGCAAACAGGATGTTTCAGAAAATGTAACTCAATAAAGAACATTTGTGAATTATACCTTTATAATTTAAACTAATTTAAAATAAACTTTATTATATCTTTTGGTATAAAATACTACTTTAAAAGATCTCCAAGAAACCTCAAGTCAGAAACATGCAGTCAATAGCTGAAGGTGAGAATTATGAAAAACAAGCACCTGTCGTGTTGCAAGACAAAGGGACTGACCCTGCTTGCTGTTCAAACCCTCACTCAAACACACACACACACACACACACACACACACACACACACACACACACACACACACACACACACACCACGGCAGAGGGATGGGTAGGATATGAATCCCTCGGGCAATGCTTAGTAGGAGCAGCCCTGGCAGGGAGAGAGGTGTGGGCAGATTGTGTATTACCTCAGCAGATAGCCCACAGAGCTCAACACACAGGATCCAACCATGCACTAAATTAGGAACAATAATATTGTACACTTAATTGGCCGAGCCCCCCTCCCCTGTCTCCTATGTTGTCTCTGAGAGTCACCCAGGGGTGTACAGTATGTATTCTCTGGAACTACAGAGGTGTGTGAGAGGGTACACAAAGGATCAGTCAGAGTCTCAGAGCAGACACACAGTCACAGATAATGTGGCATGCTGGAGACATCCATTTCATAGCAGTTTCATATAAAAAAACAAAACACCCTTGGTTTGCCCTAGAAAGAAATTATAAAAAAAAATGTTTTTTGAAATCAGTAAAGCTTTCAACTGATTTTGGAAAAAAAATGTTTGGTTTAAGAAACAGAGTGAGAAAATTACTGGAAATATCCAGTGAACAAACATGATAAGAGCAAGAACATTTAAGGAGCATAAGGAGGAGCAAGAGTAATAGGCATTTGCATACAAAATTGATTTCTAGGTAAATAATAAACCATGTTTCAAGTGAGACATATTTATATAGAACTCCTTTCTAGTATAAAATGTCTGGCTACACTCCTAAATTGTATCAGCAATGAATGTGGTTTGCAACTATAGACCAAAACACTGAACTATGAAAGAGAGATTAAAATAATTTTTTAAAACTGTAAAATAATGTCATTTTACTTTTGGCAGAGGAAGTTAACATTACCTTTCCCTCCTTCTGGTGTTGGTCAAAAGCAGCAATGAGCTCTTTTGCCCACTGGACTCTGTCTTGACTGGGAGAGAACTCTTCCTGCACTGCCTGGATCTGCCCTGGGTGGATAACCTGCTTACCTGCGCACATGCACACGTGCGCACGCACACACACACACACACACACAAAAGAGAGTGAGTGAAATATGCTAATGATAACAGCGGGCTGGATGTGGCTTTAGATAAAATTATATACAAGAGCCATTTGTGCTTTCAAACAATGCTTTTACTTTTCGGCACACAGCTATCAATCAACACAATTATTGCCAATTACCCTATCTGATTATAACAACAATTGTTTTTAAAAAACATTTATGAAAACTGTTGCCCAAACAGCTGTACGGAACTGGAAAAAGATGGAAATGCAGCTGGCACTATTCCTGTGGGAGAGGAAAGCCAACACTGAGAGACAGAAGACTAAATAATGTGTGTTTATGTGTCAGTATGTCCTATGGCACTGAGGAGAGTCAGATGGCTAGCACGGGACCAGAGGATGCTGTGCATCAACACACAGACATACATACATCCTTACTAAACATTATTCTGTTGTTGAACTACTAAATGTGAAGAAAATTCTTGTCTTGTCTATGAATAGATTTTATATTGCTTTACATTTCTATAAATGTTCCATGTCATCTTATATCCAACTGAAACACAAGCCTAACATGGAGTTAAGACTCTGTCTGACACAATCCCACCCCCCAATCTCTCTCAGTTAAATGTGGGCTAACGCCACAGACATAATCCCATGTACATTTGCAGATCAAACTTGTAGTGATAAGTTAAGGTTATGAAACGTCTGGTGAGAACGACGGCTCAGCGGCAGCCAGCAGGAACTCGACACTTTAGGGCTTAGCTCTGTCGCCGACAACAAATCCTTCAAGGTGGCCGAGCGGGCAGGCAGCAAAAAATTTTGCCCAGGAGACATGAGGAGAGGCAAAAGGGGGAGAGAGGAGGAGAGGAGAGGAAAGGGGAGGAGAACCCACTCTCATCATCCTGCTTCGTTCACCCCAGTTAATCTCAGAAAGATACACACAGCAGTTATACAATCAACACAATGTACTTGAAGGCTTGAACAATTACTGATGAGGGAACATAATTCATTAAATTGCAATTTGTGATTAATAGATACCTTTGAGGGAAGTGTGCACACACATTGGAAATGCATGTGTGTCTGTGTGTTTGTGCGAGGCAGAGGGACTGTAGCACATTTTCTGTTGGACAAACAACCTGAGGTCTCTCCAGGGCCATGCTGGAGATGTGTATGAGTGTGTGTGTGTGTGTGTGTGTATGCATGCAATCTTTTATGTGTTTGTGTGTGTGCCTGTGCATTACTTTTTTCTGTAGTATTTTGGTTCTCCTACCTTTCCTTTTGAATATTGTGAATAGATGAAAACACCTGCGCGCGCGCGCGTGTGTGTGTGTGTGTGTGTGTGTGTGGTATATGCATGTATGTTGCGTTCTATAAGGAGCGAGGCATAAGGAGTTTGTGTCACCTCTTCTGCCACCTTCTTTCCACACTGAAATTGGCAGGCTTAAATATACTTCAAGAGGGTGTATCTTTGTGTGTGTGTGTGCACATGTGTGTCTGCGTAGTACAGTGGAATGACAGAGCGAAGAAACAGACAGGGTGACTAAGGTGCCCTCAGTTACAACCCATTGGTTCTCCTAAAATGCATCATTCATGCCCTCCAGCCAATCCCGGCCTGCCATGTGGTGCTAGCATCTAATTGGAGGATTGCTATTTAGCAAAGTGCTCTCAGGCGAATGATGGACAGGCACCTGGGGACGGAAGTGAAATGTGGTCCCTGAAAGCAGAGAATTTGCTGGAAACGTTTTCTATTTCTGGGAGGCAAAGATCTTTAGAAGGATCATCGAGTCTTAGCAGCAACATGTAGTTTACGGCACATAAAACAAGGTGCTTAAAAAGTGAAGATGCTGCACAATTAAATCTCGCAAATGAATGACCTCCCCACCCAACAGATTAGATATATGTCAAGGTTTTGCAGAATGTTGCCTTCACACTGTCCTGTTTTCCATTAAGAAGCACCGGTTATTTGTGTTTCACCAGTGTGTTCTGTGCTCAGTGCTAATGGGTGCTGTATGCGGCTTAGGTACTGCCAAGGTCAATTACTGCACAGGTAGAGGCTTTTGGCTGCACCGTATTATTGCTTAAGCACACTCGGGCCAGTAATAGCCACTAACTAAGATTATACGGAGTGCCCATGGCTTGTAAGCCACTAATCCAGTGCTTTGAATGGTTCTGTTCCTTATCAAATCTAACAATTTATTCATCAACCGGCTGCTTCCACCACTATCTTTTACATATTTCTTTTTTCTCCTACTGTTTAGACCTTAAGCTTTCTTTTATAAAATTCTATTTGCTAAAAAAGATTAGTTGAAAATCACTCTGATGTGCAAACAATTAAAAACAGATTATATTTGTAATATATGCATAGATTTGAGGGACCCTTGCGCTAAACATAATAGGTAACCTGCAAAAAGACAAAAGTTAAATTGTTCAGTAAAAAGGTCTAATTCATCTAAACAGAAAAGAAATGTGCACTTGGCTATAGCTATAAACATACCCCCTTCCCAAACACATACACTCAAAAAGTGAAAACTGACTAATTGCTGACATTGCTCTGTTCTATTCACCAATCTCACAATCAAACTAATCTAAACATCACTACATAGGAAATAAAACATTATATTATGAGATTCAGTTGCGCCCCCCCCCAGTTTATGTGGACCACCACAGTAAATATATTTGGTGCAGCGAAGGAAGAATGACTGGAATATCCACTTTGGAACAGGCTGTCCTGCCTTCTGTGATATGTTACATGCAGTGTGCGGGGCACACACACATTCTGAGAGCGTTGCCTGGTTACAGACACACACAGAGTGCTGTTAAAGTAGACGTTACCACTCTTTGCTAATAACGCCCTTTAATCATACTTGCACATACATGCACACTTGCATACACACACACACACACACACACACACACACACACACACACACACACACACACACAAAGCCATTGAAGGTTAGCACATCAAAAATGTCAGAAAAGCATTTAAGGACGGCAGCGTTGTTCACAATTCACTTCAGCAGAACCTAAAGTGCAAAAAATAAAAAAATAAGCAGGCAACTCTAACAAATGGTCATTTTGAGATGGTGTTCATTACAATGAACAATACAAGTACAACTAACTCATATATCTTATTCTCACAACGCAGCAAGAGCAAGACAGAGTAACAGTGGGAAGGAGGAGTGAAAAGTGAAATGCTGCTTGCAACAGGAATTTGAGGGAAGTCTGATACTGTGCCACAGGTATGAGCGAAGAATGTATAGGATGAAAATAAAGAACAACCACTGAACTGCAGAAATCAGACGTATCTGGGGTGGACTGACATGATGAGGTCACGTCACTTGACGTGACCTTTGTTAATGAGACAGGGGTAAATTAAAGGTCCAGATAGCAGGAACTTCACCTGTGAAGCCCATGAGAGCTCCCTCTCTGGCCTGTCGCCTCAGCCCCTTCACATCTTTGTAGTCAATGTAGACCAGGTCGATGGCCTGCAGCCCAAACGCTTTGGTGGTCACAACCACCTTCTGCCTCGCGTAAAGTAGCTCCATGGCGTCTTTAGTTCGTGTGGCACCTAGAGAACAAAATATAGGGGTACAGATACATGTAGGTCAAACGTCAGTTAAGATCTCAGAGAGAGGCAGGTGGATAAGCAAGTAAATCAGATGGGCAGAGGAGGTGGGATGGTGAAGGTGAGTGACAGCGACAGGAGCCAGGACAGCAGTTACACTGATATACAGTATGTCAATATCTTGATCTACTTTAGTGAGTTAGTGTTTCATATCTAATTACACGGTTAAATGTGAATTTCCCTTCACGGCAGACTAGCAAACCTTCCTAAACATGAGTTAAAATCTTTTGCTCTAGATTTTGCTCAAACATCCAGTTTACTGTATGTCATAATAAAAATGAAATACCTTTCTTTAAGTGGCTGCATGGTGTACGTTAATTCATGTTAGGACACATTAAAAAGAGAATGGATCAGCAGTTCAACCACTGTTCCTTGAGTTTCATTACCTGTTAAGTTTCTCTTTCAAAACAGACCTAACCATGGATTCAACTGACGCCAAACGCAGGCAGAAGAAAATGTTTGGTGAATAAAGCATGGCGTATTGGAGAAGAGCTGTGCGACGTGTTTTAATTTTGATGTACTTGTGGTAAGTGGCCATAGGCTACCTGTAATCTTACACTCTGAGGTGTCCTGATACAGAAGATAATGGACTATGTAGAGGAAATGGGTCTTCACTTCCATGTCATTCATTATTTGTGAATATCGGGACAGCTCATTTTGTACTCACACATCCACATAAGGGAAGTGGCCTGTCAGACATGCTTTTACAGACAGGCAATTAAACTTTTGGATTTTTACAATGCAGTATAACCTGACGTTCTCTCTCCACCACAAATTCAGAAAAAGAAAAAGTGAATAGCACATTTGTGTGGCCAACAAAGAGTCAGAATGTAAGCAGAAGGTGTGATGGCTACCTATGCTGGCACAGAAGTCATCAGAGCCAAACACCACGCCATCATGGAGGAGACCAGCCTTGGGAGCAAGTCGACGGATTTCCTCACACACTGCCTGGAAAGAATATATGATTATAACACAGGCTGACTAAAGTGACATGAGATGGAAGGAGGATAAATGTTGGACACAAATTCTACTCAGTAAATCTAAATATACACCAACATCCCAACGGTAGTTTAAATAATCTAGATTTCTGGGTTTCTTTTGCAGTAAAAAGCATTCAAAACAGTTTTCATCAGAATAAATATTCTCTAAAGAATATACTAGTCAACACATTGTGAAAATACTAACTTTAATTCCAGCTTCTTTTCCATAAAGACTGATATTTGTGCACTAGCCACCTGTAGGTGCACATATTGTACATACTGTACATAAATGCAAATGATTGCAGCAAGGAGTAGTAGAGATGCCTCTTCACTCAACCCAAGACACTTAGCTAAGTAGTGCTGGATATCAAACCTCTTACTTTTTGAGTATTCTAAACTGCCACTGGATGAATAGTCGGATTTAGACTTCTCCTTTATTTTTTATATTTACCTTTATATTTCTCCTGATATAAAAATTTTTGCTTGGGTTAGTTCTTGTATAGCTACTTTGTATTAAGACAACATTAATCGTTGATGCACGGAGAAGTTTGTTTATTGTGTTAAATGAAAACAAAAAGATTTAGCAAGAATCTTTGTTTATGTTTTTAAAAGAGATGCATGACACATGTCATTGCTAAGATAGGACTATTGGCAACAATTATTGTCGAATCAGGTAAGTGCAATAAAACATTTTTAAAACAATCTGGGATGTGATTGTCTGTGGTGAAGAGCGTGAAATAATAAGAACACATCTCCTGCTTTTGTTGGCCTTCAAATTAATTTCACCACTAGCTGTGCCACAGCATTTCTTTTTTTTGCGCTTGTAACCCGGGGTTCAATCTGGGCAAAGATTCAGGGTGTTCTCAAGAAAGCACACAGAGGCACCCCCTGCCAACAAGACACACACATACACATTAACAACCACAAACAGTCACAGAATTAGAATGGAGAGCTAAAAGACAAATAAAAAGAAAGGACAGCTTGTCTCTCCCCAAATGCCCAAAAGCATGTCCTTTTCTCCATGTAGCTGAAGGTCGTGCTGTACTATAACAGGAACTGCTTGCCAAAATATCATTAAGAACTTTTCCACTATGATGATATTAAAACAATTCTAATTAAAAATGTCAGCGTGTCTGGGGAGGGATAGAGAGAGACGCACGCAGACAGAAAGAGAAAGGAAACCAAAAAAAAAAAAAATAAGGCTCTAAAGGCTCATTTTGAGAATCTGTCTGAAAGCTTTGAATCCCTTTCATTTTGGACACGTGGAGTGCCCCGCTCACTGACGCAGTCTTTAATCTAAAGTGAACAATGGACAAACAGCTAAATGTCTTACGCATGCAGTTTTTGGGGGGGTTGTTTGTAATTTACCTTAAAATTGAGCAGGCCCACAGCGGTTTCCACAAAGGTGACTAGGCGAATGGGTTCTGTCAGTGGCTGTCCTTTCAAGTTGTGCTGAAACCTGTCAACAAACTAAACACACAGGGATTCTCATGCACCACTCATTAACAAGATCTACTGTTTCTGTAAATAAAAAACAATGAGCCTCCAAACAGACAAATTCATTTGTTCTCACTACTTTGTACAATCACATTCATTAGATGTTGGAGCAGATATATTCTCTGCAGTATTTGCTGTTTAAAAAAATGCTTTTCAGACTTATTTTCAGGTTGAATCTATTTGTGATATTGTTTATAATATGCACAGATCTTCAAGGAAACATTATGTTTTGGTGGACTGAATATCTGTTGCGGTAAAGTGCAGCTGCCACACTCAGTGGACTTTATATTATATGCATTATTAGTTAAATGAATGACAAAAACAGGAAACTCATACTGAGATACAAAAATATTGTTTCAGAGTGAATTTAAAACTGGTAGGAAAAAAAATGTTCAGCAGTAAAAATACATACAGTGTAAGTGATATGACATATCTTTCAAAAATCCACTATGGGGGTAAAACAGAGAAGAGAAAAAATAAATCTTAACATACAAAAACTCACTTTTGATATGAATCTTGACACCTTTATTACCTGCACTGTTCCCATCTCAGTCCTTATTCAGAAACACGTCTGTGAGGGTTCAAATAACAGAGAGCGAGCACAGGAGAGCAGCAACAAAAGCGGGTGAAATGAAATATTTTACATTATCACCAGGGTTCCCCCTTCGTCTGAAGTCTTCTGCTCTACCTTCTTTCATAGGCTCTGCACAACTACAGCATATGCTCCCCTGAGAGTGTGTGCACATGTAAATGTGCACATGCACACACAAGCACATGCATACACATGGCAAACCAAAGAAGAAACAAAATACAGAAAAAGGGGAGAAGAAACAAGATTTGGGATGTCTTTGAGTGTGTTTTACTCCTACATTATTCTGTTTTGCATCCCCCTCCATGGCAGGGAACAGGGAGACTGGAACAACAATCAAGAGTGTGATGTGACACTTTGCTGAGGCCTTTATTCTGCACGACTCCTGCTACTATGCAAGCTCACCTAAGTAGGGCTTTAAAACCAAGTTTAATTCTTTGAAGACCAAAGCTTTTCAATTTTTTTCCAACAGACCAGTTCACAGCTAGCCCTGGACTGCCAGTGGGGTAGCCCAAATTCCAAAATCTATCATCTGGAAACACACAAAAGCCCCCTCCGTCAGATATTTCCTTTCAAAGCCAGTCCAAAAAAAAAAAATAATAATAATAGGGAGAGGGCGCAATAGCTCAGAGTAGAAATGTCTAACTCCATGTCCCCCCTTCCTCTCCTTTTTCTCGCTCCCTCTTTGACACACCAGGAAAAAGACAGATATAAATAACCTTAGGTACAGCACTGCTATTTTTCTAAATGAAGAGCAAAATAACCCCTGTGCTCGCACTCACCACTCTTGTTCTCAAAACTGAAAGAGTGGGCCTCCATTGAAGGATTTGAAAAAATAGGGGCAATTTTAATCATCTCTCCATTCAATCTCAGTTGGATAAATCATATCTGAGAGATTTGCATAAATACAAACCATCAAAGACTTTTCATCTTCAAAGAGGTTTTCAAGACCCAATAGGCTTTGTACTGTAATCATCTGAGGTCACAACCCTGTGGGAGCAAGGCTGCTATGGCAACATAAAAACTAACGCTGGGGGCTTAGCATAATATCCCCCCTCCTTCGCAAACACAGGAAGGGGGGCGGGGGGTCCGAGAGGGAGTGTGAAAAGAGGGTGTAGATAAACCTATTTCTGTGACAGAGGAAACTAGATAGACATGGCCAGTTGTGGGGAAACCTAGCTGATATAACACACAGAGATTACCACCATGACACTGTGCCAGGCAAACCCTAACAAGGCTGTGACGAGCCATGCGGGCTGTTTGGATTTTGATGGAGGAAAACAAATGACAGCTCAATGCGGCACCACTGGATAAAGAGCCTCCTAGCCTCTCTGATTACATGTTTCTGTCCTTCTGCTGTATTCTCCTCTTCAGCTATTATACACTTTAAGGGCCTGACAAAACGTAATGTAGTGCTTGCTCATTGTTCCTCTGGCACATGCAGCAACCATTAGCTGTCAATGGCTCTCAAAACTACGGTCCTTTAAGATGTTATTCACTATCGAAAAAAAAGAAAAGAAAAAAGAAGAAATAACACCTCTTCTTGCCATTCAAAGCCACGCTACAAACAAGCCCTCTGACAATTTCGCCACCCAATCATGAAAAGAGAAGGAGGGAGAGATGGAGCTAGAGAAAGGAGGCTATAGTGGGACAAGTTTCAATTAATTTTCTTCAAAAGGGGGCCAGATTAAATGTTTCCGGCCTGCTGAAGTGTTCATTTCACAGAGGGGAAGCGGAGAAAGGGAATAAGGGGAGGGAACAGGAGGAGGAGTAGAGGAGGAGGAGCGGGACAGGGTGCGATTCTTTCGGTCCCAGTGCACACCAAATAATGTGGTGGGCAAAGAATGCACACGGCTCCGAATCTGTGTGAGAATTGTCCTCAGACAAAGGAGGGAGTTACGCCTGTTATAGCCCAATAAGGCCTGTCAGTCACACAAGGGCTAGGGGAGAGGAGGAAGGCAGAGCTAAAGATTTCTACACAAAGGGAAACAAGCAAGTCCATCTTTTAGCAACAAATCAGTCTGGAGGTTCCTGTGCTAATATAAATAAAAAAGGGAGAAAAATAAATAGGTGAGGGATTTACGGTGCTGCCTTACAAGAGTGGAGAAAATCTGACACAACACAGTCATATGAATGCACACACAGAAAATCATGTGCTGAGGAAGGCAGAAAAAGTTGGAGGGACAAAGATGAGACTAGGTGAGTATTCATGGCTGAAACAAGAGCTGCAGACTTGACTCTGTTTCAGGAGCAGACATGCACCTGTTTATGCAAAAACACTCTGTATGTATGTGCAATGTACAAACTCATTTACAGTGCGCTTAAAAATGTTATTTTGCACCAAGGCTTTAGTATAAGAAGAACAAAATAAACAAGACAGCTATTATCCACAATTTAGACTTAACATGCTGACTATGATTTTCAGCATAATAATAATGTAATATTCAGAACAGAATTTACTTTTTTTAAAGTGAGGAAAAGTAGCAAAGGGAGAGAATTAGTGAACACCTGTCAGCAATTATACTTGGAAGAAAGAAAGGGCAGCAGGAAATAGATGTGTTCTAATTAAAACCACTAGTTAAAAACTTCCTGCTCCTGCCCCAAGACCATGTATGACAATATATATACGTGTGTGTGTGTGTGTGTGTGTGTGTGTGTGTGTGTGTGTGTGTGTGTGCGTGTGTGTACACTGAGGGAAAAGCCCAACTAGACACCCTTGTTTCCCTAACCTATCTCTCTCAATTTCTCCTCTTGCTTCATCACCAAATACAGTCGGAATGTTTGTAGTTTCACACAATAACAAAAGCCTTATTTAAAAAAGTAAATTGACTACATGAAGAAAATGCTTAGTTAAACTGCTTGCCCATGTCAAAGTGTGTGTAAAAAGAGAGAAAAAGAAAAACAAACATAGCCCAAGCTGTGATAGACTTTAAAGCAAATTTGAACTGTATACAGACACAAACAGTGAAAGAGGCAGAAAGTAACTTGGTTGCTCCTGGTTAAGTGAACCATATGGAGCTGATCAGAAAGGCCTGCATTAATGATGTCACTGTCTCCTGACCTTTCAGGCCCTGAGATCAGTACAGCGCCCCTTTATAGAAAGCCAGAGGGATTGCCAAGCCTAGACAAATGCCTCTTAAGTAGGGCACAGACGCAGTTAGTATGGACAAATTACAAGTCATTTATATGAACAAATATTGGGAACAATATTAGTGGGCAATTATTTAAAACATGTTTGTTTAAGAATGATTTAATCTGTATAATGATCAATAACTAATGTAGGATTGTAATAAGCTTGTAATATCTGAAGTCAAATCTAGTCTATCAGTTTGTGATACATCTATGAAGACTTTTAGTCAGAGGTAACAGGAGATCTTCAAGTACCAAGTGGAACTGCCCAACTTACTTTTAACTTTATACTTCTACATATCAGTTTCTGATCTTTCTTATACACATGAACCTCAGAAACTGAGAAGATGGTCTTATGACTTTGCAAAATGTGTAGACAGTTAAAATACATTTTAAATATAAAGAATATTCAAAGGTGTGCATGAATAAGGGGACATCTGGCTAAGTACGTTTTTCATTAAATTAATCCTTAGCCACAACATGACACTGTCCAAGGCAGTGGCCAGTAAGTTCAGCAGTGGCAGAAGGCACCATTGTGTTGTTACAGAAAGCTATCAGGCTTCTGAAGCTAATGCGAAGAAATGTCATCCGTTTCTTGAGCAGCAGCCAAGAAAAACACTCTCTGTCCCTGAGTCCTGCCACAGGGATCGATTCCACTTTTACTGGGAAATGGAAAAGTTTGTTATGATTGCTTTGAAGATTCCTGTGGTTTCCTCTTACTTCATGACTTTGTATAAAAGCAATACTGTGTTTTTTAAAAAGGCACCTAGAGGTGAAAGAGAGTCATGGGTATTTTTAGTCTTGTTTAATTGTTGCATTTATTGCAACTTTGTGTTTTGTTTTATTCGGGAAGTGGTTACACTGTTACTCCATTCAGCCCTTGCTGAAAAAACTACAGGAATCTTTCAAAGGTGGGCCAATATTTGTAACTTACCCATTGCACCTCCTGCGTGTCCTCCACTTTGGGCAACATGATGGCAGGAGGGAGAACCTCAGCCTGCAAGATGACCTCCAGGTCAGCCTCAGCTAAGCCACTGGACACTGAATTCACCCTGACACACTTCTCTGTGCGGCCCAGGTCCAGTTCCGCCAAGATCCTAGGAATGGTCTCCCTGGCCTCTGTCTGCAGCACAAGAGCATAAAACACAGTCAGAAACCATTATTACTTCATGTAATGTATTTGGTCAGACTGAACTTCATTAATAAAGAGTTTCAAGATTGGAAACAGAATATTTTAAAAGCAAGCATAGTTACTGTGAGAGATGACTACCCAAGAATATACAATCAAAATGCTAGACATAGCAAATAACTGCTTAAGAAAGGCAGAAAACTGTTGATTTGTTCTAGATTCAGTCAACATTTACAAAAAAATGCATAGATAAAAATCAATTCCATTCACCAGAAAAAAAAAAAAAAACATTCGATAAATTGCACATAAATTGCAAGACAAGTCAAATTTCCTTCAAGGAAATGATGCTCAAAATAGATAAATTATACTGACCATTAAGCATGATCATAAAAGCAAATATTGCATTACAGACACTAATGATGTGTCATCAAAGTGGGCTACTGATAAAGCATTGGCTATTAATAAAGTCTTATTCCATTAGTCTGGAATAAATAATATCAACATGTACATAGAGATAAAAAAAAATGATAATAACACAGCACATGTGCACTCTCCCTTGACTGCAGTTCATCTATATACAGTATGCCACAAATCAACAAAAGAGAGGCTGCACACTCAACTTTATTCTTTCAATGCAGGCATTGTATGAGCTGAGCAGGAAGAGAGATGAGGAGGATGGAAAAATCAAAGAGAAGCCTACAGTCCCAACTTCTATCAGTAACACAGTAGCACACTCCACTATTCAAACCAGATGCTGGGCTTCGGGAATGGAGAGAACAAGAGATTGAATGGGGAGAGAAGTCGCTCTAGTGAGAGAAGAGAGGCTCTCTGGGAGAAATGTGGTCTGAGTTAAGCAGCATGAGGAAACGGTAGCTTAGGAGTTGTCAGGTTAGATCAGAGGCTGGAGCCTTTGAGTACTTGTGTGGGTGTTGCGGAGATTCTCAGATTTTTGCCCTCAGTTTCCACTTATCATACTGAACAATCACCTCAAAAGGAAGGTTCTCTCACAACTTGTGTGTACCAGAAAGGTTTTGGAGCTTATTCTTGAAAGTAAATGTGGATAATTGTAATCCAGCACCTGTGGATGGTCGCAAAAGTGACATGCCATGCAATGAAACTTCATACTTGATGGGAATTTGATGATGCACATGCTTTGGATTTACTACAAAATACATCTGAGTGGAATATCTAACAGGCCGTTCATTAGCAGACAGATCGCTGAAGTAATGTGGGTGTGTGCATGAAAGAGAAACTGTAGACAGATATAACACGGAGAGCCCATACATCACAATCTCTTGTAAAAACTGAAGTGGACTAGAGTCAGCCTAGGTATGAGAGCTTATGGGGAACCCTCAAGGGTCACGGAACAGCTTCTGAGACAAAACAGCCCTCGCTCTGATCTCCTGGAATGCAGAACTGTACTTGATATTATGAACACCCCTCCAGTATCAATAAAATATGGTATCAAAGTACATATCAAAGATTTGCTCGGATTTAATAGGGGTCATGCGCAGGTGGGACTGCCGTGTGTCATCTATGTCTCCCTTTTGCCTCATTGAATGAGACAAGAGGGATTGTCACACCATATGATGAGTGCACTGTGATCTTTGACTCCTACTCAAGTTTTGCTGTAACCTCTCTGTTACTCTCTCTTACGGTCACCCTCATAAGCCAAGATAGACCCATAACTGTATCGTGGTAACTTAAAACGGATGGAGCGATTTACGCAGCCATAATTCACCATTCATAAACCTGCTACTTGGTGGATAAAATTCTGTCTGTCCCTCCCCAGTTCATGGTGACTGGAGAAAATTGATCTGTGAGAACCGCTGGCTGCCTCATATGCCAGGATTCACACTGATCCCTGACCAAACTAAATAAACAGTGATACAGAAATGATCAAAAAGCATGGTTTATAACATTCACAGATCAAATACACTGGAAAGGGCCAAGTCTCCAACTTGATATACTAGCAGCCCGCATGAATAAAATTATTTTAATGTAACCAGAGCACTCTCATTGCAAGGACTGTCTCCTGCACTTTTCTCCTTTTGAGACGGTATTTCTGAAACCATGACGCAAGGAATGGCTAAGGAGATGGCCAGGTCACTGTACACTACTCTTTCTTTTATCTCTCTTTCTCTCTAAAGCGAGAGAGAGATTATTTTGCCAGACACCTTGACCCCTATGGGCTCCGCTACTCCGAGCTTGAATAAAGCCCTTTGAAAAGGAGATATTTTACATTAATGGACAGCCATCCAACAAGTTGCTTCAAAGCTCCCTCCCCAATCACCTGGTGTCCCATGGAGAGCTAGCCCCAACGTCAGCTCCAACTCCTCTTTGATTCCCTCCATCATCCTCATCATTAGAAGCTGACACACAGGCAGGCAGGCGGGCGAGCTGTCGGCCAGGCAGGCGGGGCCGTCGAACGCATAGATGCACACAAGAAGCTTTTTAAGTGCAGAGAGGCTGACCTTCCAGAGAGCGAGGTCAGCTCCTTAACACACAGCCTGAGCCTTGACGCTCAGGATCCTACAGAGAGCTGTGTATACATGACACAGCATGGCTACTACCTTGTAGACACCACATCAGACTGGAGCGTCCAAACCGATGTGTGTACAGTCCACAGCGGGGACACCTTCCTCTCTAGCATCAGATCATAGATGCCCAGCCCTGCCGTCATGCAGCTTGAAACACGTAACGTCAACCAACGCCTCTGGACAGACTCTGGGTGTAGACTCACACTCTGAGCCCATTCATTCAATTTGAATTTAAATGCAGTGGTAGTTACAGTATGGAAATAGGGACAAATAACATGTTATGCATGACATGAAAGGTGTATGAGAAACGGCAGTAGGTTCTAGTAAAATAACAATTGTAGGTACAGTATCAATAGCCTGATAAACAGCAAAATACATAAGACAAATGGCATAAACTAGGATCATTTACAACATTAACATTATCAAAAAATGGCTGTGCACATACATTCTCATAAACAACTTGTATATCGCAGCCTTTATCACTGACATAGTGCCTTCAAACAGCAGAGTGCTGTGTTTTTATTCTGAAGGTCTCTATATATATAGTTTTATGTGAAAAGAGTGGGAAATCACGAGTCACAATGAGTTGTTTTTCCATTTTTATTTTATTTTTTTACCTTTTGAGAGCTGGCGTTTTGCATCCTGCTGTGCAACTCACGATGCCATTTAAAATGAGCTGTAGAGTATCGCAGGTGAAGGCTGCCTGCCTGAAGTGTGACTGTATACGCATTTGTTCGCCTGTCTTTGTCAAGTTTGTGTGTGTGTGTGTGTGTGTGTGTGTGTGTGTGTGTGTGTGTGTGTGTGTGTGTGTGTGTGTGTGTGTGTGTGTGTGTGTGTGTGTCGTGTGTGTGTAGATTTCAAGTCATTGTGGATGGGTTTTGACAAGTGACACGCTGCACTCCAGAAAGCTGGAGTGAGATGACTGACTAATTCAGGCTACACTGTTAACTGAGATGTAGCAGAAGGAGATTCAGGCCTTCACTCAGCCGGTTGGAGGCACACTGTGTTATCCGTTATCCTGTCAGGGCAGACAACGAGACATAACTAACAGGACAGAGGAGGAGGAATTTGAAAATCATGAAACCTGCTTGTCATTGTTGGTCAAAACTGACAGCCTGAGGTGGAAAAATAGCTAGTTATTACATAGTATTTATTCACTTTAATTAGCCATGAAAAGATCTCATTACAGCTCTTGGTTACAGTTCATTAAAAGCTGCACTGCACTGTTTTTGAGGAAATTAATTCCCAAGGCTACATATCCATTTTGTAGGAGAAATGGAGAAGGTACGGCTCATTATTTAGTGTCTTTACAACATATATTATCTATTCTCCACATAATTACAATTAAAAGAGTTTTCTTCATTAGTGATTATGCATTACGAACTGTTTCCTAACAATTCATGTCTCATTTGCAACTCCCAGTACAGCAGTACAATTTACTGTTTGTCCTGACTACTCACAATAACTAACATAGTACTAATTACGCTTAACTTGTCTCTCTATTACCGCTTATTTAAATTAATGATTGATATTAAGGCTGTGATTATTATTAAAAGGTATGTAGCAAGCAATTTACATTTGGCTTTATTTTTGAGCTTTGAAGCTTGTATGAGCTGAATCCAATCCTAAATCTAGACAGAACATTAATGGTTTCACTGTAAACAAAATAAAGTTTAGCATGCAGTCATCTTAAGCAGGACTGGGTGAAAATGCAACTCGTGGCCTGTGAGTCCATGCCAGAGGCTGACTGAGTATGTGCATCAGGGTGAAGGAAACAACCAATTGGGAAATAAATACTAAGCAAGAAATATAAAAATACAGCATGACCTATAGCTGAGGTGAAGCTGCAGCATATAATGCGCAAGGTCAAATTTGTTTTTTGTGAATTCTGTGTTTTATAGATCATTTCACCACAGCACAACATTACAAATATGTCCCTGTTCAGGTCTAGTCATGCTTCAGGTTTTCAACATGATAACTTAAGGTTTCTGTGCTAAAGCAGGACTCTGATGTAGGCTAAGTATAGCTACTGAACAGGTGCTCTCTGCTATTATGAGTCAGCACATCCTCTCATAATAGGGTCAATAAATATGATAATCTTACCTCCCCATTTATCTTAAAGCTGCATATTAAGGTATGCTACAGACCATCTGTGGTTAAATTAAACTGGCACTGAAAACAATCGCAGGGATTATCTGGTAAACAATTTGCAATATAACAAACAATATAACAATGTCACCACAAAATGATTCCACTGATGGTCAATTAAGGTATTATTGCTCAGCCCTACCATATGAGGGTGTCTGCTGCATAATAAAGGAACCACATTTTTTTTTTTAAAACAAACAAATTAGTGTAATGTAAAAAAACAAAAAAAACAAAACAATGAAGAATGCAAAGACGTTGTCATGACCATAGTGCAAATTCAACTGAAGCTGTACAATGTGGGGGGAA